GTGTGGTACATGTATGTGTGTGTGTGGTATGTGTGTATGTGTGTGTGGTGTGTATGTGAGTGTGTTGCATGTGTGTGTGTGAGTGTGTGTGGTTATGTGTGAGTATGTGTGGTCCATGTATGTGAGTGTGTGTTGTATGTGTAAGTTTTATGTGTAAGCAGTATGTGTGTATGTGTGTGAGTGTATGGTGTGAGTGTGTATGAGTGTGTGGTATGTGTGTGTATGTGTGTATGTGAGTGTGTGTGGTATGTGTGTGTTTTATGTGTGTGCATTCTGTGTGTGTGTGAGTGTGTGGTATGTGTGTGCATGCATATGTTTTGCTGGGACTGAACACCAATTCTTACACACAAAGCTGAGCCTCATAGCCTACTTTCATTATTCTTATTACCACCCCCCAGCTCCCCTGCCTCATCTCCTTCTCCCCCCCACCCCCGTTTCCTTTCCTTCCTACTTCTAGTGTGGAACCTGGGGCCTCAGGAACAAAAGACAACTTTTTCCCCACTGCTCTGCTTTCTGAGTTATCTGTTGAGGGCTGGGGAAGGATATCAGCGGACAGAGTGATTGCCTAGCGTGTACAAAGCCACCACATAAAACCCTGAATGAGGGCTGAAGACATAGATGGCTCAGTGGTTAAGAGCACTGGCTGTCCTTCCAAAGGAACCAGGTTCAAGTCTCAGCACCCACAGGGCAGCCCACAGCTGCCTATAATTCTAGTCCCAGGGCATCTGACACGCTCACACTGACATACACGCAGGCACAACACCGATGTACACAGGTCACATTTTAAAAACTGCACTTTTGGGGACACTCGTCATCACAGCACATGGGAAGTTGAGACAGGAGGATGCTAAGTTCAAGATTATCCTTGGTCACATCGCAAAGTTTTAGGCTAGCCTGGGCTACATCAGACTCTTTCTATGAATAAACAAACAAGCAGGAAAATGCTGTTTGAGATCCACCTTACTTACATGTAAAGTGGTATGGTAGAGTTTGTATTCAAACTACCTGTGCCATGTGGTACTTTACCTTTTGTGATAGTTTGAATATGCCTAGCCCAGGGAGTGGCACTATTTGGAGGTGTGGCCTTGGGTGTGGACTTTAAGACCCTCATCCTAGCTGCCTGGAAGTCAGTGTTCTGCTAGCAGCCATCAGATGAAGATGTAGAACTCTCAGCTCCTCCTGCACCATGCCTGCCTGGATGCTGCCATGCTCCCACCTTGATGATAATGGACTGAACCTCTGAACCTGTAAGCCAGCCTCAATTAAATGTTGTCCTTGTAAGAGTTGCCTTGGTCACGGTGTCTGCTAATGGCAGTAAAACACTAACTAAGATACCCCTGTAATCCTGATACTTAAGGAAGCTGAGGTAGGGGGATCGCCATAAATTTGAAGCCAGTATGGGCTACAGAGTACGTTTCAAGTCAGCCTTCCAGGAAAGAAAGAAAGAAAGAAAGTAAGAAAGAAAGAAAGAAAGAGAGAGAGAGAGAGAAAGAGAGAAAGAAAGAAGAAAGAAAAAGAAAAGGCAAGCTAGCTATGCTGTGCCTCTGGCTGCTCTATCGAGGGAACCAGAGCTCCGTTCCCAGCACCCACATGCTGGCTCACCACTATCTATAACTCTAGTTCCAGGAGAGCTGATGTCTTCTTCTGGCTGCTTTGGACAGCAAACACAATGCTGAGGAGTAGATATACGTGTAGGCCAGACACCCGTATGCACAAAATAAAACAGTAATAAAATGCATGAAATAATAAAAGAGATATAATAATTTCAAAAGGAGGGGGGAAAGAGAGAAAACATTTTTTAACACCTAGAAGCTGGGGGTACAGCTTAGCAATGGAGAACGTATCTAGGATTCACCAGAACACCAGGACAAAAGTTACAAGGGAAGGCAGGGAGGTCAGACTCAAGCCCCGGGGATGATTAGGGATGTAGCTGAAGCCTGAGGCCCTGGGCTCAAAGTCTAACTTTGCAAAGAGGAGGAGAGTTCTTATGGGAAGCTAAAGGCTGCAGGAACTCACTGCCTACTGTTATTTCTGAATGTCTGGAATTGTCCGTAATAACACAGAAAACGAGCAATTAAAAAACTAAATAAATGCAGAAAATATGACTTTGAAAGCTTCCTGGTTTCTGGTCGTAAGAGGCCATGTTTGAAATAAAGCTGGTGGCGGACGCCTTTAACATCAACACTTGGGAGGCAGGGACAGGTGGGTCTGTGTGAGTTTGAGACCAGCCTGGTCTACACATTAAGTTCCAGGCCAGCTAGGGCTACAGAGTGAGACCCTCATTCAAAAAAAGAAAAGGAAAGAAAAAACCCGCTTTTCCTCAGCAGACCACTGTGAGTTTGTGTTGAGAGTTACAAAAGTAAACCAGGTCCCATCCCCTTCCACCACCCCTACCCCCCAACCCCACCCCCAGCACAGAACCCAGTGGATCTTTTACAGATCTAAACGGGCCTTCCTTCTCTTTTTTTTTGTGTGTAGGGCTTTTTGAGGCATGGCCTCTTTATGTAACCCAGGATGGCCTTGGATTTAAAATCCCCACTTTTAACCTTTGGGATGCTGGGATTAGCGGTGTTTCTGTGCGCACGGGTTTTTGGTGGTTTTGTTTGTTTTTTTTGTTTTGTTTTGTTTTTTTGCTATGCTTCTTACAGATGGCTTCCTGTAGCCCAGGCTGGCCTCAGACTAACTGTGTGACAGACACTGTTGCTGAAAGCCTGATCCTCTACCTCCACCTCTCAAGTGCTGGGAAGTACCCACAGGCCTCCCAGTCCCCCCAAGAGGCTCTCCTGTGGACTTCCCAGTGCCACTGTCTGGGGCTCCGTTCCCAGGATGTGAAAAGGGAACCGGAAGGGCCCAGCCATCCGGGCTCTCTATCAGTGGGCGGGCATTGCGCACAGCACTAGATGTACTCAATGCCATTAAAACTCCTAAACCACTTCTGAGGCCGAATTAGGATCAGCTCCAATGTCTAGAACAGTGGGAGGAGCTACAGCAGGAGGAGGAGCCACGGGAGGAGGAACCACAGGAGAGGGAGGATCCACAGGAGGAGGAGGAGCTATTTAATGACCTTGGAGGCTGGAAGAGGTTAACTTGATATTGAGGGCGCCCCCCCCCCCCCGCACCTTTACCTCGGGTTTCCGGTCTCCACCTCACTTTCTACAAAGTGGGTTACTCGACTACTGAACTAAGGGAAGCCACATCCATGTGAGAGTGCCTGCCCTCTCCGGTATTTGTGCACTAGCAGAAATCTGTGCTAATTGACCCCCAAGATCCCCTCAGCAGCCACCCTATTCCCTCTCACCATGGGGTCACAGGACGCGTTCACAGGAGCGTTCTCACAGCCCGGTGTACTGGTGTTGGACACCCAGTAGATGTACTGCGGTTGCCCAGATGTGGCCAGGTACCCAGAGATGAGTCAAGAAAAGCACGATGCCAGCTGTCAACTACAGGACACCCCTAAATGCTGCCGCTGGGACTCATGCAGACTGTTCGCACCCACAGAAGGTTGTCATTTAACCCAAACTCACACTTACAATACAGTCCCTCACATCCCCTCATGGGACCTGTCCCGTGCTCCCATCCCCTGCTCCAACCCGTACCCCGTGTTCTCCAGTGGGGGCTGTATGAAGGATACAAAGCTGTCACGGCCCAGTAACCAATGCAAATGACCAGGAGGACGAAGGTGACCAGAGGGTAGAACATAGTCGACATCATCTGCCCCACAGCCCTGTATGAAGACAAGAGTAGTTCTCTGGGACCCCACCCCTGTGCATCTGCTCCCTGGCCTGACCCTGGCTGGACCCTTCCTCTGGCCTGTTTGTTTTCCAAACCAGAAACAGAACTCCAGATTTCCTCTTCCATATTTATAAACCCACCCAGCACCTGGTTCTGGGAGGGGTACACTGTAGACTCTTGCTGGGTGAACCGAGTAAGGCTCAAGGGACCCCGGAGGGGGAGATTGGAGTCACAAAAGACACCTGGGACGCTCAGGGAGTGTAAGGGAAGAGAACCCTCAAAAGGTGTGCCCCCTGGTGGCTTTGGCCATCTCTGACTCCCACCACTTGACCCAGCAAGCACCTCAGCTCCCAGTGCCTCCAGACTGCTGTGCCTATAGTCCACACCCACGCTTCAGCCAATAGTCCACATCCACGCATTCAGTCCTCACCATGCTGTTGCAAGGTTTAGACTGGTGTGATAGGGAGCCTGGGGTGGTGGAACATACTTCCAATTCCAGTCCCGAGAGGCTGAGAGAGCAGGGTTGCTACCGGTCTGAGGCCAGTCCGGGTTATGTTGCAAGAGTGACAGGTTGGGGACGATAACAGAGGAGGGTGTGCCTAACACACAGGAGACCCTAGGCTAGACCCCCGACCCCAGCGCTGCATAAAAGAGGCCTGGTGGCACATGCCCATATTCCTAGCACTCTGGAGATAGGTTAAAAGGATGTGTTCAAGGTCATCTTCAACTATATAGTGAGTTTGAAGTCAGCCTATGCTTCCTGAGACTCTGTATCATCAACTGTCTTGTGGGGCAGGAAGACCAGGAGTTCGAGGTCAGCCTCAGTTACATAACTGTTCCATGACATTAGTTTAGGCTATATGAGTTCCTGTCTCAAAAACAAAACAAAACAAAAACCCCTTGGGGCTGGAGAGATGGCGCCACAGTTAAGAGCGCTGTGTGCTCTCCAGAGGACTTGAGCTAAGTTCCCAGAATCCACATGGCGCCTCACAACTGTCTGCAACTCCAGCTCCAGAGGATCCAACGGCCTCTTCTGGCCTCCACAGGGACCAGACACGTGCACAGACATACTGGCAAAACACCCATACATAAAACACAAATAAATAAATCTCACCCCCTCCCAAGGACAGCAAAACAAATCAGATAGGGAAACTGAGGTCCTAAGAGGCTGGAACTCTCCAGGTAGTGGAAACGCATGCTTTTAATCCTAGCACTTGGGAAGCAGAGGCAGTCAGGTCTCTGTGAGTTTGGGGCCAGCCTGGTCTAACAGAGTGAGTTCCAGGACAGCCAGGGCTGCAAAGAGAAGCCCTGTTCCAACCCTCCCACCCCCACCAAATAAATAAATAAATAAATGGCTGAAATTTAGCAGTGTCACCCACTGGACAACTCTACCTTTCTCTTCTGGGGTTCCTATTACCCCATCTAGGCCACCAACCCTGCCCAAGGTCCCCTCTCCATCATAGGTGGGGCCTGACCTGCTGGCTTCCTTCAGCAGAGCGATGGCGATCCGGATCCGCTGACGCAGGAAGATGAGCATGAGAAGCAAGACACCCTCCAGGACAGCCAGGACAATCACTGCACGGAGACAGCAGGTGGCGGTCCCGGGTCAGGGCCAGGGTCACCTAACCCTTGGCGGGCAGCGGACAGAGGAGATGGGCAGGGGACTCACGAGCAGCCAGCCAGGTCTCCTTCACACTCTGGTAGGCACTGAAGTTCGTGGTGAAGCCCACCTGGGTGATGGAGGCTCCCTCATCCCGCAGCACTCGGTACTGTTCCCAACAGTGGTAGATGCCATAAGCGAGCACAGCCAGCACCCCCACAATCAGCAGCAGCACCAGGGGTGCCGCCACCAGGCGCAGGAGCAGGATGAACAGCAGACTTAGCACCAGGGCCACGGCCAGCGCCCTGCATAAAGAACGTACGTGAGGGGTCGCCTCCCAAGCCCTTCCTAGTCCCCCAGATTTCTTTCCTTGCACCCCCCCAGGTATTCGTAGATTCAATTCATCTTCTGAGAGGCTTGGGGTCCGCTCTGAGCTAGCTCCACCTTCTGATCACCTCACAGTAGACTTGGGGAAAGAGTATTAGGAACGGCAGAGGGTGGTGCCTGATCCTGGGGAAGCCGTGGACTCACACGAGAATCCAGTACCAGGACTGGGCAAAATCTTCAAAGATCTTCACAGAGACGTCCCGGGCATTAATGCTGTCCAGGAGGCCACTGTCGGGGAGAGATGGAGTCAGATGGGGCTGAGGGTAAGAAGGGACACAGGGATACGAGGATGATACAGAGGGTGACATCTACCTGATTCCATTAGAGATGGTGGTGTTATTGATCTGTAAGTGTTCAGGTAAAGTGAAGTTGGTGTCCGGGAGTGGAAAACAGCGTCCCAGAGCTAGAAGAGAGATCAGAGGCTGCTGGGCGGAGTCTCTCTAACCCTCCGTCCATCCGTCCATCCATGAATGCTGCCAGGACAGGGGGCAATGGTGGGTGGGCTCCGCTCTTTCTTGGCCTGTTTTCCCTCCCTAGCACTGGCCAGCTGTCTTCGCACGCCATTACCTGGATACCCTGGATACCTCCAGCCCTGACCTCGCTGCCCTCCTATAGTCAGTCCCTTGACTCTGTCATGCCCCCGGGCTACTCTTCCAGGCCCTGAATTCTATGCACAATTAATTAATTATTTTTTTTAGTTTTTCGAGACAGGGTTTCTCTGTGTAGCCCTGGCTGTCCTGGAACTCACTCTGTAGACCAGGCTGGCCTCGAACTCAGAAATCCACCTGCCTCTGCCTCCCAAGTGCTGAGATTAAAGGTGTCCGCCACCACCACCCGGCTCTATGCACAATTTATATCTCTGCACTTGCGGGGCCTCTAAGTAGCCTCTTTCAGAAACTCCTCTGAGCCTCGGCCCAGCCCCTGACCCACCTCTATCTCTGCATCTCTAGCTGGACCTGTTACCAGCTTTGGAACCACATGTAGCCAGTCAGGTTTAATTTTATCACTGGCATCCCAATGCTGAGAAAACAAACACAGAAGGGCTGAGTAACTGGCCCGAGACCCAACCACTAGAAAATGCTCAAGTTTAAACCCAAATCTGTCTGCTTTGGAGCCGCCCTCGGGTGCCTTTTCTATCCTACTTGCCTTGAGACCTTGTCCTTTCTCATGTCAAAATTTAAAAATATATTTTCTACTAAAAAAAAAAAAAAAAACAAAATAGGAAAGATAAAGGCAGGGAGTGGTGGCCCATATCATTTGTCATCTCAGCATGGGGTCAGGCTGAGGCAGGAAGATCACCAGTCTGGAGCCAGCTGGGCTATAGAGTACGATTCTATCTTTAAATAAACCAAACCGGTTACACTAGCAGTCGGAAGAAGCGTGTGCCGCAGAAAGGTTGGTCATGGTTGGCTTACACCGCCACGTACACATGTAACATTTGGAAAGATATCTCTGTTTGCTATATTATCTTCAGATTCATTCATTCATGTCAATTTTATTTTATTTATTTTTTATTTTTTATTTTTTTGGTTTTTCGAGACAGGGTTTCTCTGTATAGCCCTGGCTGTCCTGGAACTCATTCTGTAGACCAGGCTGGCCTCGAACTCAGAAATCCGCCTGCCTCTGCCTCCCAAGTGCTGGGATTAAAGGCGTGCACCACCACCACCCGGCCAACGTCAATTTTATTTTTTAAAAAAACTTTTAAATAGATTTATCTGTTTGGCTTCATGTTTGAGTCAGGGTTTACTATGTAGAGCCTTGGCTGGCCTGGAACTCGCTATGTGAATCAGGCTGGCCTTGAACCCATCGAGATCCATCCCTCTGATGCTGCCTCCTGAGTGCTGAAACTAAAGGCATCTGACGCTATGTCCCCCTTGATGCTTTGCCTGCACATGTGTATAAGCGTCATTGTAACTTGTGCCCGTGGAGGCCAGAAGACTGTGTCCGAGCACCTGTGTGGTTACGGATAGTTTTGAGCTGTTATGTGGGCGCTGGGAATCCATGTATGAGCAACCAGCAACTCCTGGCTGCTGAGAGAACCTCTGCGGCTTCACCACACACACTTCCCTGATATCCCTACACGGATGTTCTTCGTTATTTTTGTTCTGATCTGTCTTTGCTGACGATGGAACCCAGGGCATTGCACAAGCTAGGAGAGTGCTCTGCACGCCTGTCACTCACCTTCCTTAAGAAACACTATGACACCTATTTATTGGGTGTGAATGTGCCTGGGTCGTGTGAGTTGTGCAGTGCCAGTGGTGGTTAGAGAGCTCGTCTTTGGAATGCATTCTCTCCTACCGTACGGGTCCTGGGGATCAAACTCAGGCTGTCAGACTTGGCGGCAAGCATTTTATGTGACACAGCACCTCATCAGGCCTGTTTTATTATTGTACTGAGATAGGATCTCGCTAAGTGTCCTAGGCTGGCCTTCAACATCTATCCTCCTGCCTCAGCTGCCCTTTTAGGAACACACAATCTAGTCTGTTCATTCAACCTCTTGTAAGTATCTCTGATCTCTCTACCCAGAGTGTAGCTGGAGCAGAGAGAGGTTTCTACTGTCCCTGTATCTGTCCCCAGCACCTGGTGCACAGCCTCACAGCAGGCACTGAGAGTCTGACTCTAGGGTCCCGAGGCAGGAGATGAAGGCCTGCCGCTCCCTTCTGAGCTCCCACTGACGTGCCGAGTGGCTTTCCTTCTTCTGGACCTGCTTCCTTTGTTTGAGGAATGAAAATATGGGATGGCTTGATGCCCAAGATAGGGGTAGCGTTCGAGGTTCTCACCTGGTTTAGAAGGAAGAAGGAAACTGGGACAGAGTTCCTTCTGCAGGCTGTCACTCACTATCTGGGGATGGAGAGAGAAGAACAGATAGAGGCACAGATATAGAACAGAATGAGGAAGCTGTGGCTCCCGGCGTCTTAACTATGACCATCATCCCCATCATCCCCACCATCACCATCATCACCATCACCACTACCTCACCCTCCACAACTTCAACCGTATCCTGGCTCAGACTGATCCATTCCTCCTTGGAGCCAAACCTCTCCCTTTCCTACCATTATGGGTTCTCTCTGACAACCGTGATGTCACGGGTACCAGCATTTACCATATCTGGGGACACCGTTGGAAGACAAAATTTTCTGTTTTCTTTATAAACGTCACGGACTGTCTTTGAGAACTGCAGCGGCCCCACTGCCCATTGGGCCTGTGGGCAGGAAGAGACGCACACCTGTGGGTAGAGAGCGTGTTAAGGGACTGGTACCCAGGGCCTTGGGGATAGGTGGGGCTCAGGCAGGTCCTGGCTTCTGACCTGGGGTGTGGGGCACTGTAGGCCATTCTCAGCGATGGAGATGACGTTGAGGGCCGCTGCACAGCTTAAGATGTTGAAATACAGAACGTACGGTTTATCCCTGTAGGAAGAGAAGATATGTGTGTCTGAGGTACAGAGGTGTGCCCTGTACCTCTCCAGGCCAGGTACAGGGTCTCATTCTCTTAGCATAGAGATAGCACTTGGACCAAATTAGTTACATCCAGCACCTGGCCCAGCCTCTTTGGGAAGATAAGGAAGACCCTGAACACCTTACTTACGATACAATGTGTGGCTGATAGTGTTGGTTCTGGAGCACAGCCCATTAGTAAGGAGGCTTTACGGCCTTTAACAAGGCCTCACATCTGTCTCTTACGAAGGACAGTATCTACCTCAGGAGGCTTAGCAGTTTGGGTGTGAAGCACCCCGCCTTCTTAAAGCATTGTAACTGTTAGTGTCTTACTATTTACCCTGCACTTCCTGCATGCCTCCTGGAAGGCCTCAGCTGTTTCAGTTGAGGAAGTTTAAGCTCAGAGAGGCTGAGTAAGTTGCTCAAGGTCACACAATCCAAACTTATCTCAGGTGGAGACTCACAGTGATGTCTGAACTCTAAGCTTATGCACTTAAACTGTCCCCAGTCCTGGAAAGGCTCTTGGTGTGGCCCGGAAATGCTTGAGTTCAGAGAAGACAGGCCGGGGCGGGAGAACGACAGATGCCAGGCTATGCTGTCTGCCCTGGGGTTGTCTCCCACCCCCCACGGTCCTGCTACCCACTACTCACTTGTTGTCGCCCACGCCACAGTAGGCCCCCGTGGAGTTTCTGGGGTACAGCACTTGTCGAGGGTCTCCATACACCCAGGCTGCAGACAGGCACACAGTGGGATCACAGGAAGGCGGAGACTTGGGGGCAGGCAGCTATGGGCAATCCCTCCCTGGGTTACTGTCCTCACCCCAGCCCCAGCTCTGGGTAGCTAAAAACTTACCCACAAGCCCCACTATGATGTAACCCAAAATGAAGATCAGGAAGAGAACACAGCAGATGATATCTGTGCAGCCCCTGGGGAGAGATGGACGTCTGAGCTGGGGTGTGTGTAACCATGGAGTGGGGAGTTGGGAGGTGTAAATGTGGGGCATGGTTTGGGGGTGGGTTATGGTTTAGAGGATTGGAAAATGCTAGAACGATTGGCATTCTTTTTTTTTTTTTTTTGGTTTAGTTCAGTTTTTTTTTTTTTTCTTTTCCAAATAAGGTTTCTTTGTATAGCCCTGGCTGTCCTGATACTCGCTCTGTAGCCCAGACTGGCTTTGAACTCAGAGATCCACCTGCCTTCACCTCCTGACTGCTGGAATTAAAGATGTCTGCCACCACTGTCTGGCAAGATTGACATTCTTTATCTACTTTAAGAAAGCTTTTCTTAGGATGAGGATTCTTCTGCTGAAATATAGCACAGATAATAACACACACATACACAGAGACCAGAGACATGGAGAGAGACTGAGAGAAAGAGAGCCAGGGAGAGAGGGAGAGAGAAAGAGAGACAGAGAGAGAAAGAGACGGAGAGAGACAGACACAGAAAGAGACAGGGAGAGGCAGAGAGAGACAGAGTCAGAGAGAGACAGAAAGAGAAAGAGAGACAGAAAGAGAAAGAGAGAGAGAGGGAGAGGGAGAGGGAGA